GAAATGTCTGTTTAAATCTTTTGCCTATTTAAGAACTTGAGTACTTTCTTATTATTGAGTTTTGAGAGTCCTTTCTATTCTGACTTTAAGTCCTTTATTAGATGCTATTTGCAAATCTTTTCTCCTATCTGTGCCTTGTCTTTTCACTCTCTTAACAGTGTCTTTTGAAGAGTAGGGTTTCTGAACTTTGATGAATTCCAAATTTATCTTTTTTTTTTTTCTCTTAGGGATTTTGCTTTTGGTGTCAGAACTAAGAAATCATTATGTAACTCAAAGTCATAAATATTTTCTTCTAGTTTTATATCTGTAATTCACTTTGAGCTAATTTTCATGTGTAAGTTACAATTGAGGGCCATTTTGTTTGCATGGGGATATCCAATTGTTCCATCACAGTTTGTTGAAATAGTCATTTTTCTCTATTCAGTTGTCTTTGTAATTTTCTCAAAAAGAATTTGGCCATATATGTGTAGACATATTTCTGGACTCGCTAATATTCTCCACTGATCTTTTAAACCTAGTTTTTCTCAAAATATAAAGTATATTCCCTATACAAAATATAAAAGTATATTCCCTCACTGTCTTGAGACAGTGAGGATGGTAACTTTATACTAAGTTTGGAAATCAGACAGTATGAGTCCTTCAGTGTTATTCTTCTTTCTCTAAATCACTTTGACTCTTCTGGTTAGCTTGCCATTTCATATAAATTTAAAAAACAATTTGATGATTTAAAAAATACATATAATTCTGTTGGGATTTTGAATGAAACTGTGTTAAAGTTATAAATCAATTTGGGGAGAACTGACATTTAATAAAATTAAACAGAAAACATCCATCATAAAAATATCCCCCAACCCTATTTCCTTTGTTATGAATATAAACATAACATATACAAGTGTGCAGTGTGTCCATTGAATATCACAATTAAAATTATGAGCCCTAGATATTACAAGAATCAGAACCAAGTATGATTTCAGATTCTGGTACATTAAACACATTCTAATTAGATGCAAATTTATACTTTTTAAACATTCATTCAATCCTTCAAACATTTATTTATTTAACCAACCAACCAATATGTTTAAGCATCTATAATGTACAGAAAACAATCTAAGTACTAGGGAAATGTTGATGAATAAGACACAGTATTGTCTGCATGTTAAGACTCCAATAGGTCTCAATATGATTACAGTCTCCACAAATGTTAATAAGTAGGAAGGGCAGGTGGGAGCTAAATTCTACCTTGAAAGGTTAAGAAACTCTCCATATAAATGCTACTGTGGACCTCACTTCACTAGAAAATTGGAAATGTATTTGCCAAGTGGATAAAGAGAGAAGAGAATTACAATTGATGAACTTGACCTATACTCATGGATGCGTTGTTGTTGTTAGATGCCATTGAGTTGGTACCGACTCTTAGTGACCCTGTGTACAACAGAACAAAACACTGCCCGGTCCTGGCCAACCTCACAATTGTTGCCATGCTTGAGTCCACTGATGCTGCCACTTTGCCAATCCATCTCGCTGGGGGTCTTCCTCCTTTTCTCTGACTGACTCTTCACCTTTTACAGCTGTTTCTCTTCATTTTAAGCTGTGCCCCATTATGGTCAACTCTACTTTGAGGAGGCAGCTCTTCCCCAGTTGCATATTAAGTGCCTTCCAACCTGAGGTGCTCATTTTCTGGTACTATATCTGACAGTGTTTCTCTGCTATTCATAAGGTTTTCAGTGACTAAATATTTGGAATTAGTTCGTAACTCCTTCTTCCTAATCTGTCTTCATCTGGAAGCTCATCTGAAACCTGTCCACCATGAGTGACTCTGCTGGTATTTAAAATACCGGTGGCATAGCTTCCAGAATCACAGCAACTCACAAGCCACCACAGTATGACAAACTGACAGATGAGTGGTGGATGTAGCTCAAAATACCAACAGAGAGTGAAGGAGTCTTCACATCAAGTATCAAAGCTATCCCATCTGTACACAGGGTAGATAGGGACAGGCAACTTAGACATTGGCTACATAAAATGAGGGGGCAATAAAGGCACAAAGTGACTGGCTTACAGGTTTTCAAGAGGGAGTTTAGTTTAAGAGTGTGTGGGGGAAGACAGAGTCCCCATTGAGTGGTTTCCATCTTGTCTGGATGGGTATGGTGGGAAGAGATGGGGATGAGATTCTTATGATTCAATAATGAGTATTGTTATCATGACTAATTGCTATTGTCACAATAGTAAAGGTAGAAATTTTGTAACAAAAATGGGGGAGTAGTTAATCTACAGTCCAGAAACATAGAACCCTAGGACCATCAAGGGAGAAGAGCACAAGAGGAATGCCAGAACTTATCCAAAGAAGCAGCAACACTAGAGATGGAGGCAGAGATGGGAACATGGAGAGAGGGAGCAAGTGAGGGCTCTAGATTTATGGAAAGAGAGGGACTAAGAGCTGGCAGCCAGGAGGCAGACTTTCAGAATATGACCTTTGGTGGCGTAAATTATTATATATGCCTGAGTGTTTTTGTTTTTTTTTTTAAAAAAGCTAAAATGAATAGAGAGTAATACTGTTAACTGAGGATACATGAAGGACATTATAATCATCATAATGAAACAAAGTATATGATTTGTTGAATGTAAAACTGATGATCTGCCCTGTAAACTTTCACTCAAATCGCAATAAAAACTTAAAAAAAAAAAAAAAGAAACCAAACAACAGGTTGCATTAGGCAAATCTGCTGCACAAGACTTCTTTAAAGTGTTTAGGAGCAAAGACATTAGTTTAAGGACTAAAGTGCACCTGACCCAACCCAAGGTATTTTCAATAGTCTCACATGCATGTGAAGGTTGGACAATGAATACGCAAGACAGTAGAAGAATCGATGCATTTGAGTTATGGAGTTGGAGAAGAATATTGAAAGTACCATGGACTGCCAGAAGAACAAATAAATCTGTGCTGGAAGAAGTACACCCAGAAAGTTCCTTTGAAGCCAGGATGTCTACACTTCGCCTTTCATGTTTTGGACGTATTGTCAGGAGGGACCAGTCCCCAGAGAAGGACATCATACTAGGTGAAGTGGAAGGTCAACAAAAAAGAAGACCCCTATCTAAATGGATTGGCAGTATCAGCAGCAATGGATTCAAGCTTAACAATGATTGTGGCGATGGCACAGGACTGGGCACTGTTTCGTTCTGTTGTGCATAAGGTCACCATGAGTCAGAATGGACTCGGCAGTATCTAACAACAACAAGAAGGACTGCCAGAAGAACAAACAAATCTGTGTTAGGATAAATGCAGCCAGAATGCTCCTCCTGGGAAGCCAGGATGGCGAGACTTTGTCTCTCCTACTCTGGACATATTATCAAAAGGAAGCAGTCTCTGAAGAAAGACATCATGTTTTGTAAAGTGGAGGGTCAGTGAGAAAGAGGAAGAACCCCAGTGAGATAAATGGCAAAAGGGCAAGGGGTACTAGGCTCAAGGCTCACAAGGACTGAGGATGGTGCAGGACAGAGCAGCGTTTCGTTCTGTTGTCGCTGTGAGTCAGAATGGACCCGATGGCCCCTAACAACAAGAAGTAAGGTTTCTGCCTAAATACTTCATAGCTTTTTGGTATTATTGTAATTTTCTATATTCATTTTCAAGGACAGCCATAACAAATGACCCAAACTGGTGGTTTCAAACAACAGCTCAGGAGGCCCACACCCCAGATGGTCCCTTTTGCCCCAACCAGCCACCCCCTAGCCCCCACCAAGACATCTAGCACCAAAGGTTAATTTTGCCTATTTTTCTTTTTAATTTACATAAACAACATCTGTATGTTTTTGAGTAGAGCATTCTCATTACTCTGTAGCGCTCCAAGGTGTGAGAAAACCTCAGAAATAACTTTATTATTTATTAATATTATTCTCAGATAATGATCTGCTTATGTTTTATTTGGAATAGGAGTGTAGGCAGGACCTTCTAAAATGGATTGCCCAGTGACAAGGGTAGGAAAATGGGAGGCATTTTCTGGGGAGAAGGATGAAGCTTTTATTGATTCTGGAAGGGGTTTCTAATCCAGGAATAGATAAGAAATACAGGTTGAAGTGTTCTTGAGGGGTTCGCTTTGTTTCCAGCCTTTGATTTTTGTGGTCATTTCTGTAGTCACAGGCTCTAGGGAGCCCTGTCCTCCTGCAGATCCCTGAGCCCAGATGTATTTTCTGGAGAGGCAAGAATGGACTCTGGCCCAGCACTGGGTCACAGGATCTCTACAGCAGGACAACAGGCATTTGTCAGCCATCCATCCAGCACAGCCTCCCCCACCTGAGTTCCTCTCTTAGGGGCTGAGGCTCTACCTTCCTGAAAAGATGACTGATCCTTTTAGTTGCCCCCCTCTTGCACCCCTCAATTCCTAGTCACCCCAGCCATTCATTATGGCTGACTGCTCCATCCTCTCTCCTCTATCTGGCCAACTTTGATCCTCAGCTTTGTCTGATAACCCTATCCTCAGCGTTTTGGACATCTGTAAGTTCCTGTTAAGTCCCACCTGTGGTAAGGCCCCCAGCCCCGTTTGGGACTGTTTCTACCTGTGGAGCTGGCTCTGTAGTCCCACTTCCTGACTGGGATGGGAGAAGCCTGGGACCTTCTCTCCTAGACTGGCTCCGAATCCCTGCTCCCAATTGCCAAGAGCGGGAGAGCAGGGTCTACTGGATGCGATCTGGGACCTTCCCATGCCTGACACCGGTTGGCCAGGGACCAGCAGGTTAAGCTCTCTAAACTACTAGCCAAAAGGTTAGCTCACTCAGAGAGCCTAGGCAGGCAGGCCTGATGGTCATGAAAACCCTAAAGAGCAGTTCCGCTCCGCACCCAAGGGGTCGCCATGAGTCAGAATCCAGTGGACTGCAGCCAACAATACCGATAACGACAATAGCCGAGTTGGAGGGTAGAAAATCTGCTTTATTTAATGTCCACTATTTTGAGAGATGGTTGTGGGAAGGAAGAAGTGGTTCAGGCAGTGTAGACAGCCGATTCGGATTCAGTGCTGGGAGAAGGCGGCCTCGGGGTCGCAGGTAGGATCCGTGCGGCAGCCGTCTGGAAGGAGAGATCGGGGATCAGGGGGCCGGTTCCCGCCTGCATCCACGGCTCCCACCCGCGCTGGCCGCCCACCGGGTTCACCTGAGCTGCAGCAGATGCCCGCCGCAGCGCAGCGTCCCACGCTCCCGCACGGCTTCTGGCCGGACTGGCAGGGTGACGGCAGGAAGTTCTCCTCCTGGCAGCGCAGCGCCTCGGCGGTGCCCACGAAGCAGCCCAGCTCATCCCCGCAGCAGATGTTGGGCCCGAAGCAGCGCCCCTTGCCCCCGGGACCGCAGGGAAGACACTGCAGGGACAAGCGGAGAGCCGGGACAAGAGGAGGAAGCAGTGACGCTGGGCATCCAGGTCCGGACTCCCGGGCCAATCTGAGCTGGGAGGCCAATTTATCGAGGGCCAGAGGTTCCGGGGCTTTGTTTCAGCCTCAAAAGTGGTCAAGGACGCGGAGCTGAAATCTAGGAACTGCCTGGGTTGGCCGACGAGGGGTCGGTGCACGGTAGGGAGCGGAGGAGCAAGACCTTATCCCGGGTGTCTCTTCCAGCCCTCCACCGGCCCGCGAACGCATAGGGGTGAGGGTCTGGGTGCGCTCACCTTGCGCACGTCGAGGTCCAACGCGGCTCTCTTGCCGCCCAGCGGGCAGTTCTGGATGTAGCAAGCGGAGGTCAATGCCAGGAGGCCCAACAGGCAGCAGGCGAGGCTGGGCCCGGCCATGGTGTAAGCGAGGAATCCGGGGTTGGCGACTGGCAACCATCTCTCAGTCAGGTCCTTTTATGCCAGAGGGCCCCCTCCCGGCCCAGCACCGCTAAGAGGGCGGCTACATGACTGGTCACAACTGGTCGCTTCAGGTCAGGTCCTGTGCTCTCAGCATGCCCTCTCGTTTGTTGGGGCCAATCAAGGGTCAAGGTCACTGCCTTGGTTAATTGGCCCAGAGCAGATGGTGGCTCCCACGCAGGTGGAGGGAGGAGGGTGGGACAGGGGGGTTGGAGGTCTGTGACTCAGCAAAGGACTATATAGTTCAGGCTTCCAATACCTCAAGGGGATTGAGGTGGGGTTTGTTGGGGGGCATTTCAATCCTTATAGACACGAAGAAGCTTGGCAGGATTCTCCACCAGCCCTCTTGACTGGCCGGCCATCAGACAATTCCTTGTCCCTATACAAGAAGGTGTCTTCTTCCTGAACCCAAGCTTCCTGGATGTCTCTCCACCACCAATATCCATGTCCCTGCACCTGGAAGGTTTTCTAACCTGTAGTGAAAATTCAGTCTTTCCTCCAATTTGGAAGTGTAGGCAGCAATTTGTGGCACCAGAAATGAAGGATATCCTCCTTTTACATCACTGTTGTTAGTTTCAGTGGGATGAATTTACAGAAGCAGATGCCAGCCCTGTGTTCAGAGGGGCCTGGGGATGGATTGCAGTCACTATTCTTTCCACTAGTAGTCCAGACTTTACTTAGCTCTTGGTGCCACCCAAGGATACCTTTTGGCATTATAGCTATTAAATGTCACTATTGTTTTAGACTCATCATGTAGAAATTCAGGAAGTTATAGGGACTGCCACTAGATCTTGTTATATAAATGTGTTAAATAAAGCAGCACATGTCTGACTAAATCACAAATTTGTGTCAGCATTTTGATAGTTGGTATGAATATCATTAGTAATCCCACGTTTTATGCATTTAAAAACAGAGTTCTTTTTTCTTTTTATTTTCTGCATGTTAAATATATGAAAAAATGAAAATAATCAAAATGAAAGAGACTGACTTCATGGAAGGGGTGTTGGCCAGTGTCATGGACCACCCGGATCCCCTTATAAGAAAGAAATTGCTGCTCAGCTGCAGAACCCACGCCCACCTAAGGACTCAGCTCTAGAGAGTTCTCTCCACCCACCCACACTCTTTCCAAGGCTAGGTCCAATGGTGGTACATTTTGGCTCAATGCAGGACAATTCTAAGAGCCGTTTTGACTCCAGAGCTCCCTGTGCAGTCAGCTGAGACCCCATCACATTCTTCTGTCTGCCCACTCCCATTTCCTTCCTTTCCCTCTACAGGGTTGCTATATGGGTCAGAACCAACTCAATGGTACTTAACAACAATATCAGGTGCTGAGCCAGTCACAGAGGCCGGCTGATCCTGAGCCACTAGTGTGAGCTGTCCCAGGTCCAGAGGAGCTGGTCAGGCTGACCTGGAGAGCCAGTCAACCAGCAGGTCTTGTTTCTCACCAAAATCAGCTCATTGGTATTGTCAGTCTGGGAGGTCAAGGAGTTGTGGTCACCAGAAAGACCTCTGGCATGCTCTGTGGGTCCACTGACCTCCCTTAGCTAACATATGCACATGAATTATTTTAGTATAATGTCCCCCACATTGTAGGGTTTCCTTCTCTGGTTCAGTGAATACTCAATGTTATAATCATTGTCATTAAGCAAGGTGTATGATTTGTTGAATGTAAAACTGATGCTGTGCCCTGTAAACTTTCACTCAATCCACAATAAAAACCTTGAAAAAACAAAAACAAAAAAACTCAATCTTAAGATGCAATAAGCTATGTAACCTCTCATGGTGCTTTCTCTAGTTTTCATTGGCTCACATGGATTTTTGGGTAGAGGTCAGTGGAGACAGTCATACAGACACTGTTTTATCTCTCCTTGAGATTATTTTTCAAGATTTAAATTTGATTCCTGTCATAAAGCCAGAAACACCAGTGAACAATACAAGCAAAAATTCCTGTCCTTGTGGGGTTTATGTAGCAGTGGAATGCGAAAGGTGTTAAACATTAACATATTTTAGTGGGTGTGAAGGTAGTAAGTGCTATGGAAAAAATGGGGGAAGGGGGATGTTGCAATTTTTTTTAGGGTAGTCAGTGCAGACTTCTTTGTAAAGATGACATTTACGTAAATATGTGAAGGCGCTAAGGAAAGAAGCCACATGGATATCAACGGGTATATTAATCATCTATTGCTGAGTAACAAATTACCACAAAGTTAGCAATTTAAAAGAATGTCCATTTATTATCTCAGTTTTCATAGGGCAAGGCTCCCAGCACAGCACAGGTTAACTGTGTCCACTACTTCCCTAAATTATAATCAAGGTCTCAGCATGGGGCATTCCTTTCTGGAGACAAAGCAGGTTTTGGCAGAATTCATTTATCTGCAGCTATAGAACTCAAGACCAGCAATGAGGAAGGAGAAGAGTCTCTGAGTTCAGGGAAAACGTAAACTCTCTTTAAAAAGGGACACCTGATTATATAAGGCCCGCCCAGAACACTTAGTTCTACCCAAAGTCAAACTAATTAGGGACCTTAATTGTTGTTATTGTTATTAGGTGTCATCTGACTCATAGCAGCCCTACGTGTAACAGAACAAAATCTTGCCCAGTCCTGTGCCATCCTCACAATAGTAGGTAGGCTTGAGTCCAGTGTTGCAGCCACTGTGACAATCCATCTTGTTGAGGGTCTTCCTCTTTTTCACTGACCCTGTACTTTATAAAGCATGATGATGTCCTTCTCAGAGACTAGCCCTTCCTGATAACATGTTCAAAGTACCTGAGACAAAGTCTCACCATCTTTGCTTCTAAGAAGCATTTTTGCTCTACTTCCAAGACAGACTTGTTCATTCTTCTGACTGGTCATTGTACATTCAATATTATTCATCAACACCATAATTCAAATGTGTCAATTCTTCTTTGGCTTAGTCATTTCCAGCTTTTGCATGCAGATGAGGCAATTGAAGATATTATCATGACTTGGGTCAGGTACATATTAGTCATCAAAGTGACATCTTTAGTTTTTAAGATTTTAAAGAAGTATTTTGCAACAGATTTGCCCAATGCAAAATGTTTGATTTCTTGACTGCTACTTTCATGGACACTGACTGTGGATCCAGTAAAATGAAATCCTTAACAATTTCAACCTTTTTTCCGTTTATTAGGATGCTGCTTATTGGTCTACCTGTGGGGATTTAAATTTTCTTTACGTTGAGGTGTAATCCATACTGAAGGCTGTATTCTTTGATCTTCATCAGCAAGTGCTTCAAGTTCCTCTCACTTTCAGCAAGCAAAGTTTGAAATACTGCAGGTTAGTGAGGATTGCCTGATGCTGCCTTCTTTTTCATATAGCCCAGTTTCTCAGAGTATTTGCTCAGCATACAGATTGAATAAGTATGGTGAAAGGATACAACCCTGATACACACCTTTTAAAAATAGATTTCAAACCACTCAGTAGTCACTTGTTCTGTACAAGCTCCACATGAACATGATTAAGTGTTCTGGAATTCCCATTCTTTGCAATGTTATCCATAATTTGTTATGATCCACAGAGCTTAATGCCTTTGCATAGTCAATAAAACACAGGTAACATCTTTCTGGTATGCTCTGCTTTCAGCCAAAATATATCTGACATCAGCAATGGTGTCTCTCATTCCATGTCCTCGTCTTAATCCTCCTTGAATTTCTGGCAGTTCCATCAATGTATTGCTGCAACCATTTTTGATCCAACAGAATGCGGAAACTTTTGAACAGTACCACTTACATCATATGTAAGCAAAACTTTGCTGAAGATAATTCAAAAGAGGCTTTAATTACATCTGTAGATTCTCTTCATCCATAGGTTGATAGCCATACATCTACGAGGAAGACCAGTTAATAGTTCTAGCCAACAGATGGATTTATTTCAGGATAGATCTCAAAATGTCTTTTCAACAATGAGTGCAATGCTGACACTCTTCAAATAGTTGTTCCTCACATAGTAGATGATACGATTAACTTGAAGGCAATTGGCTTTTAAGTACCATGGCAACAAAACACAATGTGAGATTTTTTTTATTGGATCTTACAATTGAAGAAAAAAAAGTCAGAGGACATTATTAGGGTAATGGGGGAAATGACCGAATAATCGGTGATATTTCATCAATGTTTAACTTCTTGGGCAGAGACTGACATTATGGTTATGTTGAGAATGACCTTGTTTTGACCTTGTTGTGGAGAATGACCTCATATTTTTAAGCATTTAGGAGTGAAATGACATGATGTTTGCAACTTACTTCCCAAATAAGTGTGTGTGTGAATGACTGAGTGAGTGAGAGAGAGACTGAGACACATGCACAGAGAATAACAGAGACAAAGTGGCTCCAGAGATGAGAGCTTGAGAGAATAAAACCACCTACATTCCTAGTGTCATTTCTGCCTTCTTTCTTTTCTTCTTAAAATTATGTGGTCAAATTTACCAATCTTACCCTTTAAATTTTGAGGGCCTGTCGCAATCTTAAGGAGCCCTGACAGGGTAGTTGCTGAGCTCTCAGCTGCTCACCCACCAGCTGCTAATTAGAAGAAAGATGACAGTCTGCTTGCGTAAAGATTGTTCCTGTTGTTGTTAAGTGTCCTCAAGTCGGTTTTGACTCATGGCGACCCTGTACAGGGTTTCTGAGGAATGGCTGGTGAGTTTGAACTGCTGACCTTGCAGTCCAGTGCTTTAAACCACAGCACCACACCCGCCGTGGAAATCTTATGGGGCAATAGAAACCCCATGGGAAGTTTTACTCTGGCTTACAGGGTTGCTTTTAGTTGGAATCAACTCACCAGGTTTACAGGGCAAGAATTCCATTTGACTTAAATCCACAATCAACACTCATGGAAGCAACTGTTAAGAAGTCATATTGCCTTGGGCATATCTGCTGCAAAAGACCTCTTTGAAGTGTTAACAGTAAAGATATTTTAATTGCCTTATATGCATGTGAAAGCTGGACAATGAA